TATGAGGAACTCTCTTTGGCTGTGGTGGAGTTGGTCAGGTGGGGACAAGAACATAACATGTCTTCTGCCATGTACAGGCTTATTGTAGAGGGTGTATTTGGGAGGGGTGAAAATGGCAGGTGGACTTTTTGGCTTGAAGAACTGGGATGAGAATGGGTAGGGTAATTGACGTGTCTACTAGGAAATCCTTGTGCAAGTGAAAACTGAGAAGCTGGATGCTCAAGGCTAGACGATAAGGAGGGATAAGGATTTGGAGATGTGAATTCAACAGAGAAGTAGAATTTAAGGGAGAGAAGATTAATTGGCTTAGAGGTAATAGTTTATATCTAAAGAGATCTGGGTGAGGATGTCAAACAGACAGAGGGCTGTGAGTGTGGGCTTGAGAAGGAGGGAGGAGCTTGATATATTAAGGAGCAAAGAGTGACTGTGCACTCAATATACAATAGAAGCTCTATCAGACACTCCACACTTCTCTCACAATGCCTAATCCAGCCATGCACGGTGGCCTGTCTACAAAGTCAGTAAAATGGCAATGAAGATGGGAGGGTTGCAAGTGTGAGGCTAGCCTGGACTCCACAGAGAATTTCAGGCCAGAAAAAAAAAGAATGGGAGGAAGGCTAATTTCCAAATTAGTTTTAATTTTTGCGTGTCCGTGTGTGTGCATGTGCTTATGTGCACGTGTGCACAAGTGTATGGATGTACACATTTGCGTGTGTGCATGTGTCTGTACGTGTGTGTTCACCAGTGTGTGGTGGATGTACACATGTGTGAAGATGCCAGAGGCATTAGATCTCCCTGGACTTTGAGTTACAGGTGTTTGCTATCTGGGTGATAGAAATCTAATCGTCCTCTGGAAGAGCAGTATGGACTCATCCACCAAGCAGTCTCTCCATCCTCAGTACACCCTCCTTATATTCTCCCTCAATGCACCCTCCTTATATTCTCCCTCAATGCACCCTCCTTATATTCTCCCTCAATGCACCCTCCTTATGTTCTCCCTCAGTACACCCTCTTTATATTCTCCCTCAATACACCTTTCTTACATTCTTCCGAGTATTGACCACACCCTGGTTACTCAAAGCTTATGCCACTATTGCAGTAAACATTTAATTGTGTATCATTTTAAAAACATTTCAATTAAAATATAATAACTTATTTTGGGTTATTATTTTAAGCACTGTCTACTAGACGTCTTAAATATGTAGAACATCAAATATTAGGGCATAGCGTGTATAGGTGTTGCCACTAGCTTTAAGTTTTCTCATTACAACAACTGGAAAATAAGGAAACTGAGGAACAGTGAACTAACTCGGTCAGTGTCTTTATTAGCAGCTGAGCATATTTCAAAACCAACGAGACAAAACCCAGGGTAGTTACTCTCTGCCTTGCTGTAAGCTTTTTCCAGAAAGGGATCACTTCCTACTTGTGCAAATAACTCAAATAACTTGTACAGGAGCACTTAAAATAATTGGGAACTGTCCACAGCCACCCAAGAGTAGAGGTGGCAAGTTATTTGTTGTCAATGTTAGGAAGGGATTTTGCAGAACTTAGAGAAAATTAAAATAGCAACCATCACTCTGTTCTAATTAATCCCTTTTGTTATACCTACTGCCTTTCAAATTGCACTGAGAAGTAATCATTACTGAGAAGTAATGATAGGACAATTCAGGTTAGCCTGAGCCTTTGTCAGCAGTAGTTTTAATGATGATGTGATGCACAAAGATGCAATGTAGCTTTAACAGTCTGAGAAACAAATCAAGCTTTGTTTTGAATTGTGTGTGGTTATGCAATTATATGCTCAGTGTTACATTATTTGTCATTAAATCTATTTAATACTGGACTCACCAAAGTATTGGAATCAACTTGTATATTTGAACCATGTTGTCTGTCTGTCTCTCTGCCTGTCATCTTTCGCTGCTGGTTTGAATGAGAATGCTCCAGCATTGGCTCTGGCATTTGAACACTTAGTTCCCACTTGGTAGTACTGTTTAGTGAGGCTTACGAGGTATGGCCTTGCTGGAGGAAGTGTGTTACCATGGATGGATTTGAGTGTTCAAAAACTTCCACAACTCTCTGTTTGCTTCCTACTTCCTGCTTTCAGTTTGATACATGAGCTCTCAACTTTCTGATCTAGCTGCCACACATGCCTTCTGTGATGCTTCTCTATGATGGCAATGGAGTCATATCCCTGTGGAACCCCAAATAAATCCTTCTGTTTTTACGTTGCCTTGGTCATGCTGTCTTATTAATCACAGCAATAGAGAAGTAATAGAGATCTATCTGTCTGTCTGTCTGTCTCTCTATCCTCTTAACCCAGGATAGCCAAAACAACCCTGTACAATAAAGGAACTTCAGGATGTATCACCATCCCCAACTTCAAGCTCTACTATAGAGATATAGTCCTGAAAACAGCTTGGTATTGGCACAAAAATAGACATCTAGTAGCTGATGGAAGCAGAAGCAGACATTCACAGCTAAACACTGAGCTGAACTGGAATCCAGCTGCAGAGAGGGAGGACAAGACCAGGCTACAGAAACCCACAGAGACAGTTGAATTGAACAAGGAAGAGCTAATGGGCCCCACACTGATAGTTGGGAAACCAGCATTGGACTGACTCAGACACCCTGAACATGGGTCTTAGTTAGAAGGCCTGGGCAGTCTAAGGGACCTCTGACAGTGGAACCAGGATGTATCCCTGGTGCACAAAAGGACTTTGGGAGCACATTCCCCATAGAGAAATACTCCCCTAACCTAGAGGCAGGAGGGAGGGCCTAGTCCCTACTGTAAATGACTTGACAGATTTTGTTGACCCTTCCTGGAAGGCACCACCCTTCCTGTGAAGTGGGTGGGGGAATGGGTTGGGAGGGTGGTTGGGTGGGGGCATGGGAGGGAGGGAGGGAGGAAGGGAGAGGGAACTGGGATTGATAAGTAAAATAAGAAAAAAAAACAAAAAAAAAAAAAAAAAAAAAAAAAAAAAAAAAAGATTGTGAGCTGTCCCCAAGTTCTCAAAGAAGTCTCTGGGCAAGGAAAGAAATGGCATCACCGTCAGCACACTGGCTAATTCTGGTGTCTTTGTGCTGTGAAAAACTCTTGGGATGGTGGTTTCTTCTCCGGTGGGGCAGGACAAAGGGACAAGGGGAGCAACGGGAGTGGAGAGAATGAGAGGACGCGACGTGCTTGTAGGAATTTCCCCAGAACAGAAGCAAAGCAAAACATTATTCTCATTCATGTGTATTCATTTCAAATTCCTTTTCTTAAAAAATACTGTAGTGGTTAAGAGTGTGGGTTGGGCTCTTAAAACTACTTTGAATCTAGACTTGAAGTGAGCCAGACTCTTGGAAGGTCTGGAATAGAGAACTGTTAGGATACTGGACCATAGTTGTAGCAATACTTACCTATTTCCCCGCTAGACATAGCAGTATTCCAGGGGGCTGCCCTTACTTATTCAATTCCTTTTCTTCTCAGTATTTCCTGTGTGTGGTGCACATTTGTGTCATTCGGAATGTGTACCTACTCATGTATGTATACATGCATGGATATATGCATATATATGGAGGCCAGAGGTCAATGTCCAATTTCTCTCTTCACCAGGGTCTCCCTCACTGAGCCTGGGGCTCACTGATTGGCTAGAGAACCAATGAGCTCCACTGGTCCTGCCCTCCCATTACTAGGGTTATAGTCATGTACTACACATTATTTTGGAACACAGGTGCTGGGATCTGAAATCAGGTCCCCTTTGCTTGCAAAACAGCCACTTCAATGACATGGCCATTTCCCTAGCCCAGCCCAGTATTTATTTATTTCCAGGGAGAGAGAGAGAGAGAGGGAGAGAGAGAGAGAGAGAAAGAGAGAGAGAAAGAGAAAGAGAGAGAGAGAGAGACTATATGAGTTTATGTGTGTCACTTGTATAGGCCAGAAGATGGTGTCAGATCCCATGGAGCTGGAGTTATAGGTAGCTGTGAGCTGCCTGGAGTGTGTGATGGGAAGCAGACCTCTTTTGTAAGAGCAGCAAGGGCTCTTAACCCCGATCCATTGCTAAGGTCCCCAGTGCTAATCTTTAAAAAAAAACTATTATATTATTTATTTTGTATCTGATATACTGGGTTTCCTTATGCCACTTTCATACACATATATCATTGCACCTGTTCATGATTGCTGCCCCTCCTCTGCCCTCTTTTCCTGCCCTCCCAGGGCTCTTTCTTCCACACTCACCCGTCTGCTTTCATGTTACTTAATTTAATCCTTACAATAACCCGTGAGACAAGAAAATCAAAGCACCTAGAAGTGTAAATAACTTGTCCCAGGTCCCAGATCTTACGAGTGAGGGAGCTGGGCCTGTCACCCAAGCAGTGGGTTTCCACGGTAGTGCTTTTAATCACTGAGCACTCAGATTAACACAGAGTGCATGAACACAGTTGGAGAATATAATTACCCTAAAAAATGATGGATCTGATTCATGATCAAAACAGCAATTATAACCGGAGGAACAGGCTTCTTCCATACAATTTCTAAAGGAGACCCTGGGCAACTGAAGATAATGAAAATGGTTTTACCACTGTTGCTTTAGTAAATCATGGCTTCTGGGATGCTGTGAAAACCCCACTCCACATTCCCTTTGGGATCATTCTTAGGATTTCTGTTCTTCACCCGATAGGGGCTTAATAAGGAGCATCCCAACTGGGTTAAAAAGAAATAAGAATTTGGACTAAGAGAGGAGTGACAGAGTAGGCTGAGAAGAGCCAATGGTTGTCATGAAGTGCCTTTGAATGTAAGTCTTTCATTGTTCCTCACACTCAGTCACTTGCAATACTGAACAGCATGGTCACTGCTGGTGTCGCTGTACAGCACCACATGAGTAGGGGAGGTATTTCTGGTCGCTCCTTCCTTCTGTTTATGTACACCCTGAAGTCTCAGCTGTTTCTCACATTGGCTGTGAGGCAGCAGGCATAAAAGGAGAACACTTTGCAAGCTTTTCCAAAACAAGGGACACACAACTCACTTTTTCATTGTAGATGTCGCCAAGCATCGTGCATGCTCGTATCACATCGAGGCTTTGGAAGTTGTTTCTTGCAATTTCCACAACCTTTTCCAGATAATTAATTGCTTCTGTCATCTGTCCTTGGCTAGAATGAAATGGGAAACCATTATGTATTTCATTGTTGTGAAAAGAAGGAATTTTGTGTCTTTGCTGTAAAAAGTGTGGGGTGCTGGTCAGATGCTTAGACTTACAATGCACACTGCATGAGCAGACACACACATGGTTCAGGATGTCACACAACACACTCATATGTAGGAGCAGATATAACTTATGTCTGTCAGGGTATACAATGAGCAAAATTTCTTAAGGATTTTTCAAAAAAATTATACATTTCCACCCCATCCTTGCCCTACTCTAACTCCTCCCATGTGCCCTTCATTCTCTCCCAAAATTCATAACCTCATCCCCTTCAACAACATTTTACACACACACACACACACACACACACACACACACACACCCTGCCTGCTAAGAGTCCATTTAGTGCCATTTAGTGTTGCTCATGTTTGTTTTTTAGGGATGAGCACTTGGGTGCATAACCTATCCACTAGGAAGTAGGCTAGTGGTTGCTAGAGGCTGAGGGAAGGGGATGAAGGTAGTTAATGATCCATACGGGATTTCTTTGAGGGTTAATGGGAAGTCCCTGAAATTAGAAGTCATGGCTACACAAGTCTGTGAAAGCATTAAAACCACTGAGCTATGGAATTAAAAGGGATAATTTGAATAATATTTTATGAATTGTGTCAACAAATCTCCTTTAAAACTTCTAAAAAGTACATTAAAAGTAAAAATACTAGATGGGTAGTACACTCCTTTAATCCCAGAATTTGGGAGGATCTGAGTTTCAGGCTAGCCTGGTTTACACAGTTAAGTTATACGCTAGTCAGTGTTACATAGCATAGTGAGTGAGTGAAGAGTGAGTCAGCACCTCCCTCTCTCTCTCTCTCTCTCTCTCTCTCAAACACACACACACACACACACACACACACACACACACACACACACGATTATTGTCCTTGTGTCTCTCAGCAGCAAAACTGCAGTTCTCAATATAAGTATTGTAGCAAAATGCTCAAGGACACATGCACTTTCTGGCAGAGTACACAGCATGCACCAGTCATGTAGATACTACTGATGGAAGGCATGGCTGAAAGCTGGATTGGGGAACTACACAGCTAAGCATCAGGAAGCAGAGGGAGCCTCAGCCATGTGGACATTTCACAACTACTTTCAGTATCAGTAGGGGACTTAATGAGAAGGGAACACAGCTCAGCTGGAAGGACAGTGGGCCTGCTCAGCATGAACCGTGTGTCATCCTACTACTCAGGAGGTAGAGATGATGGCATCAGAAGTTCAAGGTCATCCTTGTAAGTTACAAGCAAGCTTGAGGTACATGAAACCATGTCCCAAAACAAACAAGCAAGCAAGCCCAGAACGTTCAAAGTCTAGTGGATGTCCTAACATCAAATAGTTTCACTGTCAATTTGGTGAGATGAGTGTCCTAGAAATCATTGTGCAGTGGTAACTGTGACAGCCACTACACATAACACACAGTCACTAAAACCCTGGAGCACATTCATTTGACAATCTATGTTAAGAACAAGGCTAAGGGCTGAAGGGTAAACTTGGTCTTGAAAGGCAATTAGAAGGAACTTAAGATCAACTCTCATGAGCACAATCCTGACCTTGAAGCATTCATAGACGTTAGATAAACTGTAATACACACTGAAGCAGCCACCCTTGCATTTCTAACTGTAAGTAACATTTAGTACACTTTGCTGACCACAGACTACTTCCTCCTCTGCCCTCACCTAGGTAAACATGCAGGGAAGGGGCCACCACTGTTAATGAGCACCAGAGTCTTTCTCCAAATGTTCGTCGTCCTTCGGTGTCCTGCACATACCTACACTCTCTGTTCTCTCCTTTTTCAGGTGCCTTACTCTGTTTCTAATCTTACTCTGAAATTGAGCCCAGGGTTTTCTCTGGACTTACATTCAGTGTCTTGCTCTCCCCTACAAAGAATGACTACCTTGGGTGTGTCTCATCTGCCACTAGGTATGATCTGATCTGCACCCGTGTTTGGCAAGTCTCTATTCTGGAGGGCTCTGGTTTTCCTCTGAACTGCACATCTGCCTTTCCTGTCCCCAGCTGTTCTTAGCATACAAAGGAGGACAGTTTCCTTCAAGGGGTCAGCACCTGCTGAGAAGGCAGATGATGTTTGTGACTGTTCTTTAGAGAGCTCTGTCATAGCACAGTGGTGACACTCTTCATAAATAAGTTAGTGGATTTTGTCCTGAAGTAATATAATATGTAGAAATTTCTCCTTCCTTTCTTCTTTCCTTCCTTCTTTTCTCTTTCCCTCCCTCCCTCCTTCCCTCCCTCCCTCCTATCTCTCTCTTTTATTTTGCCTTTCCTTTCCTTTCTCTTAATTCTTTTCTTTTTAAAAAGTTGTTTTCCAAGGCCAGGCAGTGATGGCACATGCCTTTAATCCCAGCAATAGGGAGACAGAGGCAGGAGGATTTCTGTGAGTTCAAGACCAGTCTGGTTTACAGAATAAGTTCCAGACAGGCTCCAAAGCTACACAGAGAAACTCTATCTTGAAAAAAAAAAAAAAAACAAAACAACAAATTATTTTCTAAGTGTGACTCTAATTTTTTTGGCTCTTTCAAATGACAAAATATATCTTCAAATCTGCAATGTTGTGGTGCTTTTGGGGTGAGTCAAAAGAATATGAAACAAGGAGGTGCCCAAGCTTTTTAATGGGCACTTGCTGGAAACAGGCTATTGCACGTGTTCTCAAGCTCTGGATGGTGACATTTTTTTTAATCTATCAAGTAGTTTGTTCATAAAGAAGCCAGATGACAGCCACCTTCGGGGAACGTCCTGGAGCTGCTCTGAGCACACTAGACCTGCCTATCCACATGGGATGACCCTGAGTCCCTGCCTGCCTGAACTCTGACCCCCACTGCCAGTCCTCTGCTGGAGTTCCAGGCCCCTCCCAAAGATTCACCCATCCTCACAGGACCATGTTGAGTCCCTTCCTGCCTGAGGAGAGACCTCCTAGAGAGCTTGGACCACTCAGAGCTACAGACATTGAACTTCTGACCCATCTAAGCCCACCTGGGGAGTACCACAGATATATATATATAGAGAGACCCCACCTGCACCTACTGGGAGAAGATGGCAATACAAGAAAACACCTAACAATAGAAAGACAAGCATGACACCACCAGAATCTAGGGACCTATGCCAACTAGACCTGAACACTCCAAAGCAGTTGAAGCAGAAGAGGATGACTTAAAAAATATCTTTATAAAAATGATAGAGGCCCTCAAAGACGATGTAAGAAACCCTTTAAAGAAATGGAACAAAAAACAAACAAAAAATTGGCAGAAATGAACAAATCTCTTAAAGTACAGAAAGCCATGAAAAAAACAAACAGGTGAAGGAAACAGTTCAAGACTTGAAAACTGAAATAGAGACAATAAAGAACACAAACTGAAGGAATGTTGGAAATAGAAAAACTGGGCAAATGATCAGGAACTACAGACATAAACATAACCAACAGAATTCAAGAGATGGGAGAGAGAATCTCAGGCACTGAAGATAAACTAGATGAAATAGATTCATCAACCAAAGAAAATCTTAAATCCAACAAATCCTTAACACAAACATCCAGGAAATATGGGACACTGTGAAAAGACCAATAATGGGCATAGAGGAAGGTGAGGAAGCTCAGCTCAAAGGTGCAGAAAACATATTCAACAAAATCATTGAAGAAAACTTCTCCAATCTGAAGAAGGACATGCCCATGAAAGTACAAGAAGTATACCAAACACCAAAAAGACTGGACCAAAGAAAAAAGATACCTCAACTCATAATAATCAAAACGCCTAACATACAGAATAAACAAAGAATATTAAGAGCAGCAAAGGGAAAAGGCCAGGTAACATATAAAAGCAGACATATCAAAATTATACCTGACTTCTCCATGGAAACTCTCAGGGCCAGATGGTCCTGGATAGATGTTCTACAAGTACTAAGAGTCCACATATGCCAGCCCAGGCTACTATTCCCAGCAAAACTCTCAATGACCATAGACGGAGAAAACAAGATATTTAATGACAAAGCCAGATTCTCACAATACGTATCTACAAATCCAGCTCTACAGAAAGTTCTGGAAGGAAAACTCCAACCCAAGGACGTTAACTATGCTCACAAAGACATAGGCAATAGATAATCCCACTTTACCAGAACCCAAGGGTAAAGCAGGGCAAATATATTCACAATACCACTGCCAAAAACAAATCTAAAACAAACACGCATTAACTTTCCCTTAGCATTGATGATCTTAACTTGCCTATAAAGAGACACAGGTTAACAGAATGGATACAAAGACAGAATCCATCCTTCTGCTGCATACAAGAAACACATCTAAGCTTCAAAGACAGACATTACCTCAGGGTAAAGGGTTGGGAAAAGATCTTCCAATCAAATGGACACAAGAAACAAGCAGGTGTAGCTATCCTAATAGCTAACAAGTTAGACTTCAAACCTAAATCAATCAAAAGAGATGAAGAAGATCATTTCCTCTATTTGTCACAGGAGAAATCCATCAGAACAAAGTCTCAATTCTGAACATCTCTGCCCCCAATACAAAGGCACTCACATTCATAAAAGAAATGCTACTAAAACTCAAAGCTCACATAAAACCTCACATACTCATAACGGGAGACTTTAACACCACCCCACCCTCACCACTAGACAGGACCACCAGACAGAAACTTAACAAAGAAACAAAAAACTAACAGAAGTTATATCTCAATTGGGTTTAACAAACATCTATAAAACACTGCATCTAAACACAAAAGAATATACCTTCTTCACTGCTCCACATGGAAGTTTCTCTAAAATCAATCACATACTCAGCAACATAACAAATCTCAACAGATATAAAAAATTTGATTTAGTACCCTATATGTTATCAGACCACCATGCATTAAAGTTGGAATTCAACAACAACACTAATCGTAGAAACCCTATAAACAAATGGAAACTGAACAATGCAGAATAGTATCAACCCTG